CCCAAACCTGGGCTGCCCCTGCGGGGGGATGAAAGGGCTTGTTCGATCTCCACTGCCTCACGAAGAACTATTTTATTATAATATAACTTTTATTATTGATATTTAGAGCGCGGAGTTGTTGAAGCTGTGAAAGGATAAGAAACCCTTTCTGTGTTCCTTGCTCCCTCCCCTATTGACTTCCAGTTAGTGGTGGGCTCTGTCCCTGCTGGAACCGAAGCCCCCTCTGGGGAACACGCATTGTGGGGGAGCCCTGGCGGGTATTTAAAATATGTCACAGAAAATTTAAGATGTTTTACAAATAATTTAAGCAGTAACTTATATCTTAGTGTTTTGTTCATTTTAATTTTGTGGTGCTGCGGGGGGGACCCCGATGAGGGTTTGGGGTGGATTTGTCGGGCGGTTCCGTTCGAGCTGTTGGCGACAAGAAAGTGGGTTCAGGAGCTTTTGAGGGATGGAGGGGAGGAAGTGAGGTGCGAGGGGAGGGCAGGGACCGGAGGCCGCTCGGACTGGGGAGGTGAGGGAATACCAGCTGCTGCGACCACGGGGTGATGGGAGCTGCTCTACCTGCTGTGGGTCCGTTTTCCTCGCTCCAAAAGCTGCTGCTCTGGTTTCGGGATCCCGTCTCCGTCCCTCGCTCCCCTCCTGCAGGTCCCACCGCTTCTGCTGGAAACCCCGGCGGTGGTGGGGCTTCAGGGGCAGCACGTGGGCCGAGCTGCTGGGGGCTTTCGGTGGCGTTTCGGGGCGGCTGGCGTTGGAACAGCCAGGGTGAGGTGATGGATGGAGGGCGCTTGGCCCAGCGCCTGCCCCCCATGGCCGCTTTTTGCGGGGGAGAGAGTCCAGAGGAGCTGCCCATGGCCGGCAGGGATGAGTGCTGCTGAGCCAAGGGGTTTGTACGTGGGGTCGGATTGTGCCCGAAGGCACCTGCCGGGGCAGAGCAGCTCTGTGCTGGGAGCTGGCTGGCCGGGTCCTGCCGCGGGTGGTGCCGCCGGCACGCGTAGAGCCGGGTTTAGGTGTTGGAATGCGTTGGTGGACTCGGTCCGTGGCTGTGCAGGGGTCGATCTGGGGAGGAGCCGCGTGGTGCGTTCCCAGCTGGGACGTAGGACGAGACCGTGCAGGATGGATGGCTGGAAGGGTCACCGTGCCCGGGGCAGCAATTCCAGGGGATCCCGTTGGCACGTGGCTGCTCGCAGCCGAGCTGGAAAGAGCTTTTTCCATGACCCTAAACCCTGGACCAGGGCAGCCACCTGAGTTTTGGTTGAATGTCTCGGAAAAGCCGATTTCCTTTGTTATCAGACTTTACTTTTCCAACCTTCAATAAATGTACTGTCTCCGTATGGTTTTGTGAAACTTGTTCTATGTCAAGCTTGTTTTTTAAGAGCAGTCGGTGCTGCTGACCCTCGCCAGCACCTCTGCCATCGGTAACCCGCCCCCTGCGGTTTTGGGTTCGGTTTTTAGGTTTCAGGCTCCCGGCAAAGGCCTGTCCCTCGCTCCTTTTGGAGCCTCTCTCGGCGGCTGGGCTGGCTGCTCCCGGGTTGTCGGGGTTTGCGGTGAATTGCTCGTTCTTCCCTTTCCGTTAATCAGCGGGGAGCAATGTCTCTCTGCAGCTGTCCCGGGAAACCGGGGAGGGGGGGGG